GGGGGGGGGGGGGGGTTGGGTAGCCACTGGGTTTCAAGGACCATGGGGGCACTGGCAGAGTTGTGTGGTGGTTCGGGGGGAGAGGGGCAAGGTTGGGACAGCAGTGACACCGGCTGGCAGTGAGTGGCATGGGGAATGCCTGACTGCTGGCAGGGCCCTGCAGGCCAGGGTTATGGTGTTGGTCAGGGTGCAGCACCAGGGTGGGGGCAGCTGCCCTGCTATGGCATGGTACCTGTGCAAAGCCCACAAAGAAGAGCTGGTGGTTGGTGAGCCCCACGGCTGGCAGGCGCTTCTCCTCCCCATTCCTCTGCAGCCATGCTTTGTAGGCCTGCAACAAGCCCGCAAGGTTGGCTGTGAGTCGGGAGCAAAGACCGGGGAACTTCCCCTTGGTATAGCAGAGGGCGGGAGAGGCACCCAGGGCAAGTGGTTTGGGACACTCACATTGTAGGCAGCTTTCAGACCCCCGTTGTCGGCGATGTTCTCGCCTAGGGTCTGCTTGCCATTGACGTGCTCCCCGTTCACCGCATACTTGCTGTACTGCTCTGTCATGCACTCTGTCCGGTTCTTGAAGGCCTCCAGAGAAGAGTTCTGCCACCAGGGACGCAGGTTGCCTTCCTTGTCATATTCCCGGCCTGGAACACAGTCCCGGGTGCCATCAGCGACCAGCAAGGGCCTTGGACCCCCTGTCCCAATGGCCTGGCACAGGACTTGGCTGCCATCCCCAAGTCATGCGGGGCTGTGTGATGGCTCAACAGAGTGTCTGGCGGCGGAAGGGCCACTGAAATGGAGCAGGACGTGGGAAGGGAGGGATCAAGTTCAGAGCAGGCAAGCTGGAGGTGAAGGGGCAGTGGCTTGGAGGGACTCAGGACAACTTCCCAAACTATGGTGTCCCTGGGAGGGAGTTGCAGGGAGAAGCAGGGACTCCTCATAGTCTCTTTCCATAGCCTGACAAGAGTAAGGGCTTCCCTCCCAGTACACATCTTTTCTGGAGGCAGGGGACACTGAGAAAACAGAAAGCCAGATTTTGTAGCCCACCTGGTGGTTGGGTTTTGTGGTGAGACTGATGCTGGGGCCTTTGGGGCGAGCTGGCCAGAAGCCCAGTTGATGGCTTTGGGCTTTCCCTGTTGCCATGGGCTGGACTGAAACCAGCAACCACAGGGTGAAAGTCTCCACTCCCGATGCGCTTAGCCTGTATGTCTCCTATTCTGATGGCAGCGTGCGTGGGGAAGTCCTGCTGTTCCCCAACCAGATACTCTCTGACCCTTGGCATGGGGGCCCTGATCGCCCCGAGCTGCCTTTTGGGATCCACTGGGACCTGGAGAGCATGCAGAGACAAGGGATGGACACAGATGGACCCTGCTGGCTGAGGGGGGCAGTGGGGAGAGGAGGCCGGGAGACACCCACACTAGCCATGGCCCGAGATGCAGACATGGGTCCTCACCAAGCAGATGAAGCAGAAGCAAAAGCTGCGCGGGGAAGCCTGGGGAGATGCCTGCAGGTGTCACCTAGGGAGACAGGAGGACAAACCGATGGGGGGGGAAGCCAGCAGCAGGGGGAGGGCATCCTTGAGGCAGATCACATGGCCTGGGCCATCGGCCATGTGGCAAGGAGATGACATGGAGGGAGAAGGCAGGGGATGGAATGGATGGCAGGGCCAGCAGCAGCAGTGGAGAGTGATGTGCAGAGCTGGTGTGGGACCCGTGCGGCACAGCCCTGGGGTGCAGAGGACAGAATGAGGCTGCAATGGAGAGGAGTGTGGAGCTAGGAGTGCGCTGACAGCTGGTCTAGCATCACCTCTAAGTCTAAAGACAGTGGGTTACAGCAGCCCAGAGCCAAAGAAGCTGCCAACCCACCATGCATGGTAGCAGGTGCGTGTGTGAGGGTGGGGGCTGAGAGGGGCCAGCAGATTCTTACCTTGGTCATCGAAAGCATGTGTGAGCTCGTGCCCCATCACCACGCCGATGCCACCGAAGTTGAGAGCCCTGGGGAAGCCAAGGAGAAACCCTGGTTTACCTTGCATGGCTCTTGGTGGGCTGGCAGCTGAGCATCATGCAACTTGGGCAGCCACGAGGTGGACCGGGTTTGGTTCTTGGGGTGTGCCCTCTGCGCTCCGCTGTGGAGTGCAGAGCAGGCAGGCAGCATGGAGAGGGCCAGCACCTGGCAAAGGATAGAGCCCTCCTACCTGCACAGAAGAGCCTTGGGAGATGCTCGTGTCTACAGCAGAGTTGGCAGCCTGCTGGGCAGGCTGGCATTGAATGGGCATGACATGAAGCTGTCTTCAGCTGCCCACCTCTGTTAGCCAGAAGTGCTGTCTGTGGGGAAGGCAGTCCCTCCCGGGCAGGGCCTGGCTGCCCACGTAGAGCATAGCCAGCTGGGATCTGCGGAGACCCCAGTGCTGGACTTGCTTTCGGAGCTGTAGCATCACCAGGTTCAGAAACGTTTATGGGGTACAGGCCATGGGCTCCTCGAAGCGGCAGCCAATGTGTGATCTGCTGCTGTACCTGGGATGGCCGGCTGGGGCTGGGTCATGACCTGCTGCTCACTGCTGTTCAAGGCAGGGTCCCGTGGGCTTGGTTTGACCCAGCAGGACAGCTCACATGAGCCTAGGCCTCTCCTGCGACATAGGTGCCCTTGCCCCACTGTGTTGCCCCTGATGGCCTGGCCTTTCCCACAGCCCTGGTGCTAGCACTGCCCTTGTGCCTGCCCCCCAGGGCCAGGGGCTGAGGTGGCCTCGTGTTCCTGTGGGTGGAGGGGAATGCATAGGCCCTGGTGTCCATGCCAGGCTATGTGGAGGGCAGTATCTCCTCCTGTGATCATGCCCCCTGCCCACAAGGGCCCACAGCCCTGCCGGGCATGACTGCTTCCTAAGGGCTGGGCTTTGCAGTGGGGTGTAGTGACCTCTCCTCTCTGGCTGGGCCCCAGGGTGGGGAGCTCCTGTCCGGCCAGGCCCCAGAGAGCCTGCAATGGGGGCCATGCTGGACTGGGTCTGCAACCACCCAGCAGGTCTCATGACCCCTCCCTGCCTCACGCTGGGAGCAGAGCCCGGACGCACTTGGGGTGGTCACGCGCGTAGAAGGGAGCCTGCAGGATCCCGGCGGGGAAGACGATGCCATTCTTGGTAGGCAGGTAGTAGGCGTTGACGGTCTGTGGGGTCATACTCCACCTGCGGGAGGGAGGATGGGATGTATCAGGCAGCTCTTTTCCAAGTGCGGCCACTTGCTGAAGAAACGGGTCTGGGGCTTCCCTCCCAGAGCCGTGCTGGGGTCAGTGCTTCTCCGCCTTGGGTATGAAAGGCCTGGTGCCAGCCTCAAAGTGGCCACCAGCGAGGCCTCCATCCGTGAGCTGTGTCTTCCTCTGGGGACTGGTGATGGGCTGGCATGAGCTGAGGTTAGCCAGAAACACAGAGGAATGGTCCCCCACCCTGGGGCAGTGGCAGGGGCCAGGCAGGCAAAGGGTACAGATGGACACAACAGGGGAGGTGGAGGCCCGGGGAGGGAGGAGCCTGGGGGCCGGGCTGTGTTGTGACACACGTGTGCACTTGTCCGTGTTGGTGTCCAGAGTTCCAGGTGGGGTCATAGCAACTGTGTCCTACACATGAGGCACCTGGGAGCCTCTGCTTAGACAGAAAGAGACAAGACTACAGGTCCCAGCATGCTATGGGGCCAGCAGCTGGGTGGTGCATGCTGGGACGTGTAGTCCCCACAGTAAAAGGAAGGTGGTTACGGGCTCCCCTCAGGCTGTGGGGGGCTAGCAATGTAGTCTATGTCCCAACCTCCCTCCTGGGGCATAGGCCCCTCACTTGGGGCTCTGCTCAGCCTCTACCCTGCTCCTGCCCCGGCGGGTGGGAGGGAGGCCAGGCCTCCGTGCTGGAGGATGCCTTACTGGTCCCGGTTGGGGGGTTTCCGCAGCTGGTCAGCCATGACCTTGGCAGAGAAATTGTAGAAGTTCAGCATGTTCTGGAAGAAGGAGTCCTCAGAGACCTCGTACTGAGGGAAACATGAGGCAGGGAGGGGGTGAGACGGGGCCGAGCTCCACGGGGCAGTCCTGCAGGGGAGGGTGGGGTGGCGAGATGGGCTGGGGCCACAGTTCATCCCAACCCAACAGGCAGATGAAGACCTGGTGCCCCTTCCTGCCTCCCCATGCTCCCTTGCCCAGGCTCTGTCACCCTGGTGGGGTACATGGGGGCAACTCTTGGGTGTGTTCCCAGTCCAGACAGACCTGCAGATCCTTCCCTACAGCCTCCTCCCACACCTCCCCGGGGTTGCGATACCCCTTGCCAAGGTCTACCTACCCCGTCGTAGACATCATCCAACTCCTTGTTGTCCAGGATGAAGTCTGGGAAGCCGATCATGTCGTAGATGGCGTCTGCCTGCAGAGGGAGGGTTGGGGTGGCATCTGAGGTCATTGCAGGGCTAGGGCTTGTGACTGAGATGTGAGGGTCTGTGGGCATCAGGGCTCCCCCAGGGCAGGGAGGTGGGGACACAGGAGGGGGCACTGTGGCTGCGACTCATGGACAGAGTGGCTGGCAGGAGCCCAGGGGACTGCTGGGTGGGGATGTCCCCACTACCACCCTCCAGCCCCCTGGGGCATGAAGCCCTGGTGCAGTTCATGCTGAGGGCAATGGGGCAGTGCTGGGGAAGGGGTGGCCAGCAGTCAGCAGTACCCAGAGCAGGCGCGGCTCACCTTCTCCTTCGCTGCCTGCTTTGTCTTCTCGTCCATCCAGTCGAGTTGGTCCAGGGCCTCCTCAAAAGCTGTCCGGATCTCACTGATCATCTCCTCTGCCTGTGGAAGCAGGGCGTCAGCTGCAGCTCGGCCCTGCCGGCGCACGGCACCAGCCCTTTCCCAGCTCTACGCCAGGATCCCCCCAGCAGAACAGGCAGGACTGGGGGGTGTATAGCTGGGTTGAACCAAGTTGAGCTGAACCCCTTTGGGGGGGTCAGGCTGGGGAGAGACCCTCCTATCTACAGGCACATGCCCAGCATCATCCTGCTGGGGATTTAACCACTGGTGTGCTGCAAAGGAATTGGTGGGGAGAGAAATCTGAGCTGTGGAGAGCCTGCGGTGGGGCTGGGTACTCACGATGGCCTTGCTGTCCCGGTCAAAGGTGGCTTTCACAAACAGGGAGCCCAGAGCAAAGCCCAGCGTGTCATCGGTGTTGGAGATGCAGGTCTGCCAGCGCGGTGTGCAGGACTGCAGGTGATATGGATGGGTGAGACAAGGGGACAGCAGAGGCCTGGTACAGCAGGATGTGACTTCTGGTACTAGGGGGGCTTCCCTCTGCCACGTATGTGCCCACCTCCCCCCTGCTTGGAGGGGCCCTGGTGCTCAGGCATGTTCCCTCTGCCTCGTGTCCATCCCCTGGGGACCCCTCCTCAGCCCCCTGCCTGGCCCCTCCTGGGCTCTGCAACCGCTTTCCCCCAGAGCCTGTTTTCTGGTGGGAGATTCAGGGGCTCACTGTTCCCTAGCCCTCTCCCCTTCCCCAGCCCCACAGGTCTGAATGGAGCCTTTGGCCCAGAGTCCCATCCTTTCTGCCATCCCAGGCACCCCGTTTGCTGGTTGCAGGCAGACCTTGCAGACAGGACAAAGCTTTGCAACAGTCCCTCTCATGCTGCCCCAGGCCCAGGTCCTGTCCCCCACCTCTGAGCTGCTTCGGACTTTCACCCCTGCTATCCTGCAGCTTCATTCACAGCCAGCAGGGCTCTGTGACCCCACCCTAGGCTGAGGGCACTTCTCTTAGGGACCCCACACCCATTCATGCCAATGTCCCAACCCATCCCCATCTGCTAGGGGGTGGCTGGTGTAGGAGTCCCTGGGACTCCCCAGGGGCAGGTAGCGTTGTAATCCCCTGCAAAGAGCAGGACTCCCCTTTCCTCCTCTACCATGTGTGCAGTGCAGATGCTAGTAGCACCACAGCCCCCACCTTCTTGGTGCCGTAGAGGGTCTCCAGCAGCTTCTCCTGGGCTGTCTCGAATCGCTGGTCCAGGCTCGAGGCTGTTTTCTGAACCAGGTTCCACATCATGTAGTTGTTCAGGATGCTGCGGAGTACAGGATGGCACCATGGTGGGTCTGGGCCCCCGCGCCTGGCATGCACTCCTTGAGGCACCCTCCACCCATTCCCTCTGGCACGGTACTGGGATAGTCAGGTAATCCTCTTCCTCCTCCCATCATAACGGTACAGCCCTTAGTAAACCCCCACACCCTAGACGTGTCCCCCACCCCACCCTCTGGTGGCCATGGTCCTGAGGCAGCCCTGAGCAGTGCCCCCCATGCTGCTTCTTCATGGCCATGGCCCTGTGATCCTTCCTCTACCCATCCCTGGGGGACACAGCCCTACATCTCCCCCATGCCACATGCTGCCAGGCACAGCCGTAGGGGTACATCCACCACCCCCACCATGGGTGAGGCCTGAGATTGACACGTGTGCCCTCCCCCTCTCCAAGGCCTGACCCAGAGCCCCCTGTCCCCATGGGAGCTGTGTTGGGAGGGGCAGGGGGGTCTCTACCTCCTGTCAGTGCTGTTGATGAGCTCGGAGACCTGCTGCAGGTACTCGTGCCCGTACACCACCACAGGCTCCGTGTCGGCCAACTCCAGCGGCGACAGCGCGTAGGAGATGAAATCCAGCCAGTCAATGGCAGGGGCCAGCGCCTGTTGAGTTAAGTCGTAAGTGGGGTCAAGGGGCAGGGCCCCTGGGGGGAAGCCTCTCAGCCCCTCCACTGACCCCCATCCCATCCCCCACTCTCCGTCTAATGAGAGTCAGTGATCCCCTGTCCCACTTCCTTCCTTCCCTGTTGCTGTGGTGACTGGTTGCTTGGTAACTGCTGCCCGGTGACTGAAGCCGGCTGTGCTGTATCACTAGCAGCTGTATTGATAGGACCGGTGCAGAGATGGACAGCCGCACCCCAGTGCAAGGAAGCACAGAGCCCGGGGTGGGAGGGCTTGGGCCGCGGATTCAGACTGGGTGGGCTATAGCCATAAAAACAGCTAGTGTCCACCCCCAAGAGGTATTGTGTGGCAATCGAGCTTGTTAGGGGGCTGCTGTCTAGCAAAGGAGGAGCAAGCAGCTGCAAATATTGTCAATGCAGAAACACTGGCAGAGGTGGTACAAGGAGGATGTGTGGCGAGACTGAAAGTACACTAAGGAAAGCATGAGAATACCAGGGGGGTTATGCAGAGGAGGGTTTAGAAAAATACCTAGTCATGAAAAATCAAGTATGTAAATAGCCAGCGGTCGTAACAGTACTGGTAGGAATACTGAATGTGCAAGTCACGGGAGGTATAAAATGTTTGGGAGCAAAGGGTTGTTTGACTGCTGGGCTGCTGAACGTCTTGGCGAGACCTCAGACTGTCTGATGTGCAGGTTAGTAATGTCTAATTTGCGAGGTAACTGGTGTGTTTCTTAGGCCCCGATCATACTTTACACAAATTACGTAATTCGTGGGTAAATTGCACAATAGGTTTAGATGGGCCACATGTGCAAACTAATTATCATGCCATAAAAATAGCCATCCAGCTATGAAAAGAGCCAACCAGCAACAAAGTCAGTGCTTGTAAATGTGTGGCAACTTCTAGCTGGTTTCTATCCAGCTTTCCTTTGAACATGTGGCAGGGTCCTTAGTCTAAGGGCTTATGCTGTCTGCTAAATAAACCCACGTGACGACGCTGTCTCTTGAGCATTCTTGCTCTCAGCAATGCACTGGTTTCCCAGTCCAAGATGCTGGGGTAACAGGGCAGTGGCAGAGATGGGGGTGGGCGGCAGGAGTGAGGGCCATCACTGCCAGGGCTGGGACCTCCCTCCCGCCCAGTATCTTCATGTTCTCTTGCAGCTTAATCTGCCCCTGTCCCTGCCCCATTTGCATGGAAAGCGGGTGACACTTGGCAGGGGTGTCCATGTCTCTGTGTGTGTGGAGGGAGTTGGGGGAGGAGGGGGGCACAGGAAAAGAGCTGTGGCATTTTGGCAGCTGCTGCTGGCTGCTTAGGATGCTGCTCAGCCAGGCCTCCTGCATCCCTGGCACCGGAGCCAGCGGAGTGCACTGAAATCCTAATGAAACGGGGTGGGGGAAGGGAGCAGCCTGAGAGCATGGCAGGGGAAAGTCTAGGGGAGAGGGCCCCCCAGGCAGGGGCTGGCCTTTCCCCCTGGGGCCAGGGCAAGGTGAAGCTTGTGCTTCCCTTCCCCATGTGCCTGCACAGCTTGGATCCACTCCAAGGCCCCCTGGTTCTGCCCTTTTCAGGTCACGGTGGGATCTGTCTGCCTCTGGACAGCTGCTCCTACTGACAGTGTCCCCCCAGCCCCAGGCAGGACTTGTCCCCTGCCCCACCTGCAGCTCGGCAATGCTCATCTTGTGGTAGATCTTCTCATCATCCCGCCGCTCATCCTGGGGCACGGTCAGGTTGGCCAGCTGGGTCTCCAGCTCGAGAACCTGCTGCATCTGCTCCCGCGTGGACTCCTGGGCCCCTCCAAGCAGCATCCCCAGCTCTACCATGTAGTCCAGGTAAGCGACCAGCACCTGTTGTGCCAGCAAGGGGCATTGGGGTTACCCAGGGGCAAGGCACTGGATGTACCTCTGGGCAGTTGTGGGCTGAGGGTCCCAATGCCGCTGGGTGCTCAGTTCCTAACTTCCCATTGCAGAGAATCATAGGAGACTGGTAGGGGGTGCATGGGGATGCACGTGCCCTCCCTGATGGGGCCAGTGCCCCCCCCAACAGCTGATACTGACACTGTCAGCAGGGTTGGTGCCCCCCCGACAGGGCCACCACCATCAGTGGCTTCTGCGGGTGCCCCCCCAGATTCAGGAGGCACCAGTCACTCATGCAGAGAATCCCCACCCCTACCAAGATGCCCTGCCCAGCTGATGCCAGCATAAGCTCTGGTCCAGGGGCAAGAGGAGCCCCTATCTTCAGCACCACGGGGCAGGGAGGTGTGTGCACCACCCTCCAGGCTAGATCTGCCACGGGGGACCAGGACAGTGCAGAAGCTGCCTCGAGTGTGCACTCGAGGGCAAAGGCTTTTGAGACCCCTCCTAGATCCAGGGCCTGCCCCTGAGGCTGGCTTTGTGGGCCAGGGCAGGTGGGAGTGGTGCTTGCCATGGGCAGCCTGTTCCTGCCTCTGTCCCGCCACACAATGTACCTTCTCGTTGGCTGTCTTGTTCAGGTAGTAATCACGGGAGGGGAGGAAGAGGCCAGACTGATCCACCTGGTAGAGAGGCAGATGGGGCACAAATGAGTCTGGAGTCCCTCTGCCCGGGCCAGTATAGCAGAGGCAGCAGGCATGGACCGAGGGGCAGGAGCATAGCTTGGAGGGGAGCCTAGGGCTGGGGTATTTCCATGCCAGGGTGGAGGTTGGTGGGGTTGGCCTGGCCTGGGCAGAGCTCGGTGGGGCAGAAGCAGCTCCCACCACCCACTGAGCCTTTCACTCTCCCTCTCCAGGCTGTGGAGGTGACACAACCTGGATGATGTTGCTGTTGGAGCTCTTGGAGTCAGCGCCCACATAGACGGTGAAGAAGGGTGAGGCCCGGTATGTGCCGGATACCATCTTCAGGACCTCCATGAAGTTGTTCTGGCTCCACGGCCCTGTGATGTTCCACCCACCGATCTGCCAGAGGCAAGGACAGGAGTTTGGGGGGTGGGGGGACAGACGAGCTGCCCCCTTGGTCTCACCCAAATGCCCTTGCCCTCACCCCCCACCACATGCAGTTTCACAGGGAGCCTGCCCTGCCCTCCCAGTCTGGATGAGGGGGCACTGGGCTCCCCTCCGCACATGCTGCTCCCAGCTGAGACCAGATGGGGCTTCTCCTTTCATTTATGCCATGGGCACATGCCTGGAGGGGGGAAGCCACTCCTGTGGCAAGCCAGTCCCAGCCCAGGGTGAACCCTTCTCACCTGCCCCCCACCCCAAGAGATTCCCCGAGAATCCCAGCCCCCTCCTCACTGGCGCACCTTCTCAATGAGGTCCATGAGGGGCTGCGAGCCCAGCTCCTCGATTTTCTGCTCCTTCAGGCAGGACAGGTAGTACCGCTGCGTCTTCCTCTCGGCCTCGCTGCTGGAGTTGAACGTGGTGTTCTCTGGAGTTGGGGGGGTGATGGGGGTGGACTCACTTGTGGCCCCTCTTACAGCAGCCCAGGCACATGGACGGGCTTGGCAGATTGGCCCATGTCCCTCAGCCCCTAGCTCTGCTGGGATCCCTTTGGTCTGGGTTCCCCCTCATCCTTTTTTGTAACCAAGGGGTTAGGAGGGCTAGGAAGCTGCAGACCAGCTCTGGTGCTGGCAGGGAGTAGGGACATGAGGGTCAGGTTCCCCTGCGTTACTTGGCACCAGGGGACAGCCTCACCCCCCACTGCCTGGGGCTCTGCCTGGGTGGACCCAGCCCAGCGTGGGAGCAGGCTCCGAGGCCCCAGGGAAGCGGTAGCAGGATGTGATCTCAGCCTGCTCTTGTGCTGTGTCCAAGTTGCCATAAAACCTAGCAACATACAGGTGAAATCCCCATCCCTGGTGCCCAAGGGGTGGCTGGGTCAGAAGGCTTGCACGGGGCCCTGCTGACTGTGGTGCTAACTTCCTACTCTATGTGCATGCATGTGCATGCTGAGGAGAGGATCTCCCCAATTCCTGAAGAAACCCAGGCTCTCCCTTTGCTGGCAGGGTCTGGGAATTCAATCACCAAGGACCCAGACAGAGAATCCTTGCTCAGTCTTGCCTTTCCCCCCAGGGAAAGGGAGCAGTGTCACACCTAGGAGGTGCTTCATGATGGCCTGGTTCTGGTCCCAGATGCTGTTGAACGTGCTCCATTTGGAGCGCCCATCGGGAAGTGGATTCCGCTTGATCCACCCGCCACACGAGTACTGGTAGAAGTCCTTGCAGGGGTCGGTCTCCCGGTCCAGTGCCTCCAAGATTTTGCTGGCCACGCGGATGCAGGCCTCCGTCAGGCACGTGCTGTGGGAAGGGTCTGCAAGGGAGAGGTGCCGTCACCCGGGCCCATCCAGCAGGTGGGGAAACTGAGGGACAGATGGGCTCCTTCATGGTCTTACTGCAAGGCTATGGTGGAGCAGGGGGGGGACCCAGGAGTCCTGCTGGTGACCATAAGGCCCCTCTTGTGCTGGGAGCACATGGTGATTCCAGTGGTACTCAGTGGGCCAAAGCCAGAGTCGCAGCACCCACCTCCTTTGGCTGCAAGGTCACCTGGCAGGCTGGTGCCATGGGTCCCTTTGCTCTGTTCCTCACGATACCTAATGTTTAGCTCTTGCATGGCAGCTCTGGGGACCCCCTCCCCCCAGTGCATTGCCCTTGAAGCAGAATCCCTCCTTCCAGACAGGGCACCTTGCAGTCTGGCAGGGGTAAATGCTAGGTGCCTGTGGATAGGGAGAGGGGCATCACGGAGCACCCCACACACCCGTCTCCTACCTTTGTTGTACTGGACACCCAGGGTGATCATAGAGCCTGCCAGCAGCATGGCCAGGAAGAGGGAGATGGCGCAGAGAACCAGCTCTAGCTGAGTCCGTGAGCCCAGGTGGCTCAGCAAGGGCATGACCCCTTTCCTGAACCCCACCTGGGAGGGAGAGAGAAGGGGGGCAGGATGGGGGGGGTATTGGGGCACAGTGGGGATGAAACCAGCAACACAGAAATAGTCATAAGTCCCTCTGGAGCCCAAAGACTTCCTACCAACTTAGGCCATGCCCCATGGCAGCGCCATGCTGTCTTCTCCCTTACGGCCTTACAAATGCAGACTCTTTCCTTTCCAATGCCACCCTGCTCTCCCATAGGTGAGGCGCGAGGCCAGCTCAGCACTTAGCCCTAGGCATGGGATGCTTGATTGCTGCTTTGTCATTTGCATATTTCAAATATCATTTGCATATGTCCCCCACAGGACCAAAACCCACTTACTATGTATTCAATTACATTTTGCCTGGTTATTTACATACTGGCTTTTAGTGTCCTGTGCTTTATCGCATAAGCCGATGCCAGGAAAAAAATAAAGGCAGCAGCTAAAGCACTGGCTAATGGAATAATGTAAAGATGGAGCAGTGCAGGGACAGAGATTTCTGCTTGCACGGGCTGTTTGTTAGGCTCCTGGTTGTGACACGCGGTCACAAGCTGGTGGGTGATTTTACCCAGGGCTTTGGGTAGTTTAAAGTGAGTAAGCACCTGCCCGCCATGGTACCCATCTTGGATTGCTCCCTCAGCCTGATGGCTAAGAGAAAGGTGGCACTTTGTGGTGGGTGGGGGTTTCCCTTCACTATTCGCATGCATGGGGCCAAGCATGAGGGCCCAACAGGAGATAAATGGTGATAGAGCAGCAAGTGGCATCGTGTTTTAGTCATCTGCCAGGGAGGCTTTGAGAGCTGATCACAGGAAACCATGGTGGCCCAGAGCCCAGTGTCACCCGACATGAGAGAGGAGTGCAATCGCCCAATCTGATTCTGGTTCAGTTTTTTTGGTTCTGGTTATTGGCAGAGTCTGTTTATCTGCCTACTTTTGCTGGGCGGGGAAAGGCTATGCCGATCTCTGGCGGCGACTGCATTTGTGTGGGGACTGGGCTCCGCACAGAGCTGCGAGCAGGCCCTGCCCTCCGCTCTAGTGGGACATGGCACCAGGGGGATGGGTGTCGGGAGCCAGCAGGGAGGCTAAACTACCCCCCACTGGCTCTGGGTACTGAGAGGGCCTGGTGCTAGCGGCCTAACTACCCCCAGGTGCCCCGTTAGTGCCCAGCAGGGGAGAGGCTTTGGGTTGCTGCCACCTTGGTCTTCATTTCCTGGGTCTTGCTGACTTGTTCTTGGTGTCCTGCTCCCCGGGTGCTGCTTCCCTGCTCTGTCCTTGTTCCTCTTACTGGCTCCTCGTTCGTCCCTATTGATTTCCTACTCCAGATGCCAGACCCCTGTTCCCTGACAGCTGGCTCTTGGTTTATTGCTTGGCTTGCTTAGCTAGAGCTCCTTGCTTTGGACCCCTCTGGCTACTGACTCCAGTCTGGGTCTGGATTCCTGCCTCCTGATATTCCTTGCTTGTGGCTCTGCCTAGGGTGACCCTGTATGTCCTGACCCCTTGCAGACCTCAGCTTCCTGACCCATCTGCTACTGATGCCCCAGCTCTAGCTGGGACCCATGCCTGTTCCCAGTCCTCTGGGCTCTGACACGCTAGGCTCAAGCCTAGACAAGAAGGGGCTTCCTGGTGTCCTGGCTAAACCAAAAAATAAAAAGTATCCATTTGCCAAACGTTTGGAGTTTCTCCCTCAAAATGGGAAAGCTGATGGTATCCTGTTTTTCAGTGGAACAAAGCAGAGTTTAAGGGGTGGGGAGCTGCTTTTAAAATGGAAGCAACCTTGCTCTCAAAAACACCACTTCAAAACGTAATGGCAATATGTTTCATTTGTGTATTTTCAGCTGCTTCTTCAGGGTGGGATTTTGGGGGGTGGGTCTTGGGGCCAAAACTATGCATCAGGCTTGCCCTGAATTTGCTAATGGCCATGATTGAGTAGGGTCTTTATTTTCCAGCAGATGAATGGTTTCACCCAGCCCTAGGGGAGAGGGCCCAGCACTGCCAGACTCCCCCTCCAGGCCTCCAGCCACTGGGGTTAAGACCCAGAACCAGCTGGGGTTGCCCTATGGGGTCCCACTTCCTTTGCCAAGAGACCCCCCCAAGCCGCTATGGAAGCTGGTACAGTTCAGTGCAATAGGGAGACCAAACGCTGGGGTGGCAGGGGCTGGAGGGGTGTGTGGGGAGGGAAGCTGTCAGCAGGGCCTGGGGTGCAAGGAGAAGGGGCAGAAGCTGCTTCATTTGGCATCAGAAATGGCCTCTCCCTCTCCTCACACTAGGTCTATTCAGTGATGTCTACATTTTTCTGGAGCCAGCTGGGCAAATAGATAAGCTCGTCCCAGAGCCAGCCCTTGCACTGAGCTCTGCGCTGCACAAGAGCTGCCTTGGTGCCCCGGGGGACTGGCAAGCCACCTCCTGGCCACCAAGACGCCATGTGTGGGAGCCGGACCCTACCTCCACGCTGTCGGGAGAGGCGTTCCCATCCCCCGCCGCCTCCACCCCCTCCTCCTCCTGCAAAGTAGCTCGTTTGTAATCAGGCATCTGCAGAGAGAGGGAGAGAGAGAGCGAGTAAGCTGGGGATGAGCCTGCAGAGGGCTGAGCCTGGGGCCAGTACCAGGGGCTTGCCCCCGAGGTTAGGGCTGGTGCGGAGGGAGGCCCGTGCCAGCCTTGCCTGCACCAAGGGAAGGGAGGAGCACTCACTCTCGCTCTTGCCTCTGGGGGCTCGAGCGGGGCAGGGGGGCAACAGGGATTTGGAGCCTCCCCTTTCCGAGGCACCCTGGCCCCGAGCTCCAAGGATGGAGACAGGACACTTGCATCTGCCTGCAACCCCGCATGCCTCTTGGCCCGCTGTGGGTTGCTATGGCAGCGCCGCAGCTTCTGCATGGCATCAGCATTCCTGACAGGTGTCACGCTGCCTCCTGGAGACTCATCCTCTGTTCCCAGGCAACCTGCGGCTGCATCCCCTAGCAACGCCACCACCTCCTCCCTCCCTTCCCGGAGCTGGAACCTTCCACGCCGATGGGGTCACGCCGAGAAACATCTGGAACGGGCTGGCTGGAGGCGAACTCTCTAACGGAGCAAGCAGCCAGCGGCAGGACCCCCTGCCCAGCCCCACCACTGTCCTGGGAGCCGAGCCCAGCTCCCCCACCCCTCTCACAGCACAGCCCTGTTTCCCTGCACTCCCTGAGCCACCCTAGATACCTGGCTGGCACAGGGAGGTGCCCAGGGCCTGGCAGGCAGTCCAGCCCCACAGTGCCAGGCTGAAGGGCTGGTGGGTGGTACTGCAGCTCTGCTGCAGCATGGCCCGCTGTGTAGCCTGGCTAGGACAGTGGCACCATGGGCTGGCCTATGCCACAGGTGGGGCACTGGTGGGGGGGGGCACCGCCTGCTGTGCGTTCCAGGTGCCCAACACTGGCATCACTAGCTTTGTCCCTAGTTTAGATGAAGAGTCTGGCACCTTCAGAGTGAAGCTTCATTCCCATTCGCAATAAGGCTTTCACCAAGTTATTGCCTGGGCTGAATTAGCCCCTCTGGGGAGAGACTCCTCTGCTGTTTGGGTGGCCTCTTCAGGGTGCTCCCCTCACACCCACCCCACATCTTCCTCTTTCCCTGCCCTGTGGAGTTTGCACTGACTGTGCTAATGGGCCTGGCAGAACGTACTAGCAGGCAGGCTGCAGCGGATGCTTTTCCTGAACTGGCCAACAGTGCAACAGCTCTCAGCTCAACCTGGCTGGCTGTCGTTAGGTTTCAGAGTCAACGCCCAGCAGGTGAGAGGCTTTGCAGCTCTTGTCTGAGGCTGCCTGCAGACTCAGGAAGATGCTGTGGGGCTGGTTATACTCAGGGTCATGTTTTTTGGGTTTCCTTCGTGGCTGCAAGGGCTGGCATGAGGCTTTGTGGGGGGGGTGTAAAAGCCCCAGCGAGGGACAGAGCTGCACCCAGAGCCTGCTAGGAGGTGCTATGCTGCCAGGGGGCTCCCCAGGGCACTCCTGGAGTGGGTTCAAGCCCATTCAAAACCCAACATTTGGCGGGAAATCCCTCACAGGGAGGATGCCTGATGCTGCTGGCATCTGTGAGTACGTCTGAGCCTGGCAGCCACATGGTGCCTGGGATTCCCCCACCCACCGCCTCCCACTTCAGGGAGCCCCATCTCCTGGGGAAACCATCTGTGGGGCTTCCTCTCCCCCCCACAGCACCCCAGAATTGACTCCCATCCCCCCGGCAGGAGCCCCCTCCCCACCAAGCTACAAGGACCCTGGTGACTGGTTAGCTTAGGCACCCTGTGGGGAGCTGAGTAGGCAGCCCTGGACCTGCTTGCAGGGGTTGGTTCTCCCATGCCAAGGGTCCCCCTCCTGCCCCTGGGTGGCTAGAACTGGCTCCCTGAGGCAGTGAGGTGCTGCAGGGGTGCATTGTCAGGACAGTGCAACCTCCTTGGACCCTGGCCCCTGGCATCCCCCGGCCTGGCCCCGAGGGGGCTTGAGAGGAGAGGATGGAC